TGGGTTCTCTGCCAGGGGTGAAGGGGAAGGCGGCGGGGGCGGGGGCACACGGGGCAGGGCACTCACAAACATTTGGACTCCCAGGATTTGTGGGAGGCCAGCGACCGTGTGCCTCAGCCTCACTGCTTTTGAACAACAGTAGTAACAACAGGACCATTTATTGAGGACCATACTGTGCCCAGACTCTGCACTGTCTCTAATTCTCGCAGCCACTAAGAGGCAGGTTTCTAGCCCCATTTTACAGATGTGGTCACTTACAAAGGAGTCATGTACCCTAAGGGCTTTCGTAGCCACTAAGCTACACTGACATTCTATCTTGGTCAAAGGTCCCTTGCCCTCCTCTGACTCCCACCCCAGCACAAGGATGGTGATCAGCCTTTCCCTCCCACCTCCCAGATTCCCAGAGCTAGAAAGGCCTGGACTCAGTAAGATCCTCCGCACAGCTGCCTTCACCTATCCCTTTCTGTTCGACAACCTCCCGCTCTTCTATCGGGTAAGGCTCCTGCTTTCCTGCCCTGACCCCTACAGTGCCCATTTCCAGTCCTGCCCACTCAGTCCCAGCACCCAGCCCGGCTGTGTCCTCCCCTCCACCCCCCACCGGATCTCAGACACATGGTGTCCACTCCCAAAGCCCCTCCCTGCCAAACCCCCTTTTCCTTTGCCAGCTCAGCCTGTGCTGGGGCAGGGCCCACAGCTGTGGACAGGAGGCACTGAGCACCAGCCACGGCTACCACCTCTTCTGCGCACTGCTCACTGGCTTCCTCTTCGCCTCCCACCTACCTGAGCGGCTGGCACCAGGACGCTTTGATTACATTGGTGAGAGCAGGCCTGGTCTGGCCTGGGAGGGGAGCATTTGGGGTGAGTCTGGATTAGTCAGCTCCTCAGAGCGCAGAGTGAACTAAGTAAAGGAGCGTGTCCCTGGCAGGGTCCTCAGGGTCCAGCCCCAGCCCTCAGATACAGCAAAACCAGTAGCATGTCTGCTGGGGCTCTGTGCATCCCAGCTCACTCACTCCTGTCAATAATCCTGGGAATCAGGTTTCTTATTCCCAGTTTTAGGAGAGTAGCAAGCCCAGAGAATGGGGTGCTTGCCAAGGGTCACAGGATGAGTTGGGGCAGCCCTGGGGACGGGGTTTGTGCCCTGACCTGCCTACCCTCCCCACAGGCCACAGCCACCAGCTATTCCACATCTGTGCGGTGCTGGGCACCCACTTCCAGCTGGAGGCGGTGCTGGCTGATATGGGATCTCGCCGAGCCTGGCTGGCTACACAGGAACCGCCCCTGGGCCTGGCGGGCACAGTGGCCACACTGGGCTTGGCGGTGGCCGGGAATCTGCTCATCATTGCCGCTTTCACAGCTTCCCTATTCCGGGCCCCCAGTACTTGCCCCCTGCTGCAGGGTGGCCCACTGGAGGTGGGTACAAAGGCCAAACTACTGTGAGGCCCCAGCTCTGAGCCTGCCCTGGAGGGAGGCAGAGGCCAGGCCCCAGTGCTGGCAGGAGACCAGACCCATCCAGGCCTGATAAGGTGCGGGCACATCTGAGCCTGGAACCAAGAGTGGCTGAGGAGAGAGTGCAGAGGTGAGAAGGGAGAGGAGAGGAGAGGGGCTGGGGGGCCAGGTGAGAGCAGAAGGGTCAGGGAGGGGGCTCTTGATGGGGTGGAGGAAGTGCTGAGGGTCTGAGAGGGGAGGTGCGTGTGTCCAGGCTGGAGCTGCCCCACCCACCTCAGAGGCTGGGATAGGGAGGTGTTGGACCCTTTTATCAGGTCCCATTTCTGGTGCTCCTGGAGTCTCTGCTCAGCCCAGGGAAGAACTAACATGACTAACCCAGGCCCACCCCAAATGCTCCGTAACCAGGCCAGGAGGCCTCCTATTGCCCCCTACCCCTCAGCCAGGCAGTACCGTCTGCTGGCAGCTGTTTGCCTACAGAGATAAGGCCTGTCCGCTCATAGCCATGCACTCCAGGTGTCCAGGAGTGCATGGGGTCTGGCCTATTCGGGTGTGTCATGGACGGCGCAGTGGGTTGAGGTGGGGAAGGTTCTGGCCTATAGAGGGGAACCCTAGTTAGACTTTAGGAAGCCACCTTCAGTGCTTCTGGAATGAGGCAGGGACAAATAAATAAATCAACAACAGACTTTGGGGAGCACTTTCTGGGACTGAAAAAGATAAAACCTCCTTTCCACTCCCCATCCTCCCAACACCTCCTCCTCATACTCCATAGATGGACAAAGAATCAGTTCCACCACTAGTTCCTCTTCTGGAGTTTATTCTGGAGCAGCTGGGATGATGGGGACCTCACTTGCAGGGCAGGGAGGTCCGGGCGAGGGGAGGGGAAGGGGTCCTGGAGAGGAGCCAGCACTGGGGGCTGCCAGCCAGGCCAGCAGGGCTGCGAGCTCTAGGTTGTGCCGTAGAAGCGCCGGTAGGCCTCCTGGAAGCCCATTTGGTCAGCCAGCTCATCACAGTCCGGGTTGAGCTCACACACCTCCCTCTTGGGTTCCAAGGGATCTACGTAGGGGGCTGGGGCTCTGAGAATCCAACACACTAGCATCAGCCTCCAGGCAAAATGCCCACCCCTCCTCCCACGGCACTGGGGACTCCAGAGTCCTGGCCAGGAGGCCTGCCCTGACCCCCCACCTGGAGATGCAGGGCCCTGTCCAGCACCTCCTTTCTCTCACCCCAGCCCGTGATCCAGGTAGCGTCTGAGTCTCTTCACCATCTCACTGCCCTCCTGCTTGGACACGAAGGCTGTGGAGCAGAAGGGCAGGGGTCAGGTGGCTCTGAGTTTGGGTGGACAAGGAGGGGAGTAGGCTGGCCTTCCTGATAGCCAGATGGGAGTGGGCAGGAGGGGGGAATGGGACTTGGGGCGGGGGGGGGCAGTGCTGGGAGTGGGCAGCACCACTGGGTGATACAGGGCACAGCCCCCACCTCATACCTGCACCTTTGCCAGACTCTGCACCACTGGGCTTCGCATCTGTAAAGAAAGGGGGCCCAGTTCACCCCTGCTTCTCCCTACGGCCCTCCTCCTCTGCCTTTCTGGCCCCTTACTCTTCCCTTCTCTCCCTCCACAAGGTCAGATCTGGGGGGTGAAGGGACTGAGCCCACCGGAAGGTGGTTAGACTACCACGGGACCACCAGGGGAAGGGATGAGGAGAGGTGAGGCCATGGCACTCTCCCTTTGCAGCTCCCACGGGCTGGGGCGGGGGCACTCACCTGCCCGGCCAGCGAGGCAGAGCATGGCCAGGGCCAGTAGGGCGAGGAGCGTGAGGGGCCTCATTGTGTGTCTTGTCAGCGGCTGCGTTGGGGCTGCTGCTCAGGACTGAGCTGGTCTGCCTCTCCCAGCCTCCAGCACTGCTTTATACTCTCTGGGCTGTGCCCCGGAGGCAAGGGTTCAGGCGGGTCACGGGAGAACCTGCCAGGGCTATTTGGGGGTCATCCGCCCCAGCTCTGTAGGCCAAACCCCAAAGGATGTTGTGGTTGGAGCTGCGGCTGCCTGGGCAGGGCCCTGGGAGTGATGGAGGAGGGTAGGCCTCAATCAGACTGCCAGTCTCCAGACATGGAGGTCCCCAGCCCCTCCCTAAAGGGGCTGCCCTGGGTCCCAGCCCCTACTCACTCTTGCTCGGAGCCCCAGCCCCGGCCTCAGTTTGAGCACCAGCGGGACAGGCTCGAAGGGTAGGAGAGGGAGCCTAGAGATGAAGGGGGCCCAGAGGTCTAAAATAGGTTGGCACAGAGCAGGACTACAGCCTCTTGCAGACTGTGATTTCCACCGTCGGCCCCATGGGCAGGAGCCAAACCCCAGGGAGGGAGGGCCTGCCGCTGCCCTCATTCACCCCGAGGGGCCCTGCCCCAGAGAGACACCAACAGCAGGCCTGGTGTGGGGGCAGCTCGACTCTGCTCAGGCCCTGGGCATCAGGACGGGAAGGGGCTGGGGCAGCACAGAGACGAGCCGAAAGCCAACACAGGTGGGGCCAGGTATGAGGTAAGGACAGCCCTTCTGTTTGGGGCCGGCCAGGTGAGCACTGCAGTGGGGACGCCCTTCCCCGTGGCCCTTGCAGGTGGGGAGGCAGGGCCCACGAGGGGCAGGGAGGTGGAGAGCACCTCTGGGCTCCTCACCCCCCCCATCCTCTTCCTGCCCTCACAGCCTCCCCAGTGCCAACAACCAATGGGACATGTCCCCTGAGGGGCAGGACATCCAACCTGAAACCACCCCCAACACTTAGAACCGCTTCTGTCTCAGCTCAGCCTGGAAAGGAGGGAGGGTGTCCTCACCCACCACCCACTCACCAGGTGGAAACCTGCCAGACAAAGCACTGCCACCCCACAGCCTGTGGCTCGGCAGGAGGGGCTGCCGGATGTTTGGGTGCATTCAGGAGGAGGGAGGAGCCGCTGGGCACAGTTTGAGGGGTGGGGTTGGTGAGCAGAGACCACCCTGACAACTTCCCAAGTGTCTCCAGTGCTCCTAGACAGACCCCACTAAGCCTCTCTCGAGTTAGGGTGAGGACCTCACCAGGGAAGAAAGTTCTGCCCCCATTCACCCCCACCCCCTTCCCCCTCCAGTCTGGAGGATGTACCCACCCTGCCTTTGGGGAAGTCCCTCCTGATACCCTGTGGCCCTGGCTGGGGAAGAGGAAGGCATGAGAAGCGGGGGGACAAACTGCCCAGCTATTCAGAGGGCCCACCTGCTCCGTATGTGAGCGCTCACCAGGTGCAAACACCGAAGGAGGGCCACCATGGTGCCTTTAAGGGCGGGCTAGGTTGGACAGTGACATCCCCCTGGCAGCTTGTCTTGGCCTCAGGGAACCCAGGCTCCTGGTTTCTGTGACAAGGGGCTCCACTGCCCTTCCATACATGATGGTCAGATACACCCCACCACCAACCCACGCCGGCCTAGAGGTTCCCGGAGCCCTGCAACTGAGGCCTCAACTGGAGCCAGGACTCTTGGCTCAGGAGAGGCCTGGGAGAGGCCCAGGCGGAGGAAGCATCCTCACAGATTACAGTGTAGTGGAGGAAGTTTATTTGCGGATGTGGGGAGAACATGGCAAGAGCCCTCGAGCTGGCCAGCAAGGGGGCAATCAGTGGAGACTGAAAACAGATTCCCCATGCCAGGCCCGAGGTGGGGCTCAGGAACTGGTGGTACGTGTTGTGACGGGGTAGGGTAGGGGGTTGGCTTGAACCTAGAGAAGAAGGAGCATGGTGCCTGATCCCTGGGCTGGGAGCTGGCCACGGATGCTCAGGTTAGGAGAAAACGGGGAGAAGCCTGAAGGTAGTGTGTGTTTACGACCTCAAGGGACTGCCAAAGACACAGTGGCAGTGGAGACGCTGAGGCCTCCTCCTCCAGCAGATCCCATCACTGCTTAGGGACGGGGCACCGATCTGGCTATTCTCAGAGGCAGCTCACTCAGGCCCAGCATGCTGGACCACAGGCCCTTGACCTTGACTGCCCTCTGCTCCTGGGCCCGGCTCTTGTCTCCTCACTCAGGCTCCCTCAGCACGGCCACCAGCTCCTTCTGTTCTCTGTGTAGAGCCTGACATCAACAGGAGAGAGCAGACAGATTGAGACGTGAGAAAACTCAACCCTTTCCCTCCACTGTCCTTGACTCCAGGCCTGGGTTTCCCCCCGGACGACGTGGAAGTGTCTGTACCTCATGTCACAGGCCCAGCAGGGCACTTTAGGAAATCCACCCCAATCAGCAAGCGTTTGTGGTAGGCTGTGTGCTGGCCAACTAGGCTGGACCTCCCCAGAGCAGAGCTGTTCCTCAGTAAGGGCCCCTAGGGTGTTCTGTGATCCTCTGACCTCACTGGGGATTTCTAGCAGAGAAACCTTCTTAAATTAAGTGGACTTTCAGCCAGGCTACAGCCATGGAAGTTGTGGTGAAAAAGAGCTCTCTGAAGCTCCCACACAGGGCTCAGCACTGAACAGTCAATCCAGCTGACCCACTTCAAACAATGGTTCAGATCCGCAGCTGTAATGGGAGAGGCGTGGCTATAAGAGCAGGGGGCTTCCTTCCTCCTCTTAAAATAGAAGCACCAAACAGAGCCGGCAGGCCCCGGGGATCACTATTTAGCCACTATGGCAGCCAGGGCCCAGAAGGGAGTGAGGGACACTCATGGTGATGGAACAGCAATGGCAGTGCAGCTCCTTGCCTGAGGACTCAGCAGGGCAGCCCTGAGAGTCCCCGAGAAGTGACTCTGAGCTGTGGAACCTGCCCCAGGAGACAGCAGCAGGCCGAGGGCCTTGGTTACACCACCTGCATGCCTGCTGTGTAGAGCCTGGGCCGCTCCGCTACACCGCAGACCCCCAGGGCCAGTGTGTTACAGGAGGAGGCTAAGGGGGTGAGGACAAGGGGAGGCAGAACAAGGCGCCAGCCTTTCTCCTACTGCCACCTCTCTGAGGCTCAGTGCCTTGCTGAGGCCAGAGCAGGGCCTTCAGGCTGCAGCTGACTGGTCTTGGGAAGAGAAGACTGGGGGACCCAAGAGCCACAGATTTGGGACCTATTCCACTCAGGATCAGGAAGGTCTGCCCCAGGAAGGGAGCTGTCAAGTGGCCATAGGTAGACATACGTTGGACATCTAAATGATGGAGAGAACCTGACAATGGGCCACCTTTCAAGCCCCACTAGAGACCCTCTTTTGGAACTGCACGTTAAGCCAGTGAGAAATCCATCTCATCACTCTCCGGCTACACTTGCTCTCTGTGTCATCCAGCCTGATCATCCTCTTTCCCCTTATTCACCATCTTGGCCCCAAGTGACTTTCAGAAATTCACCCTCAAAGGACACACATCTGTTGCACAGAGGGTATGTTTTAGATATGCTGACAGATCAGAGGGAGATACAGCTCAAGTGGCAGAGTGCCTGCTGAGCATGCACAAGGTCCTGGGTTCAATCCCAGTACCTCCTCTAAAAGTAAGTAAATAAATAAACCTAATCCCCCCACCCAAGAACTATATAAATAAAGATTTTTTTTTAAAGAAAAAATAGAGCACCCTTCATAGAAAAAAAAAAGAAGGAAAAAAACAAATATGCTGACGGACTAAAGTCATTCTAATGTACAGATTTTAAAGGTACTGGGCAGTATCGCATGAGGTGAAACCTCCCTGGCTACAGAGGGTTAACCCTGACTCTGAAGCAGAGAGGTCCGCATGTGCCTGTGGGCAGGGCCGGGACACTCACCTGCCAGGCCTGCTGCCGGGCCTGCACCTGCAGCTGCAGCTCCTCCACCTGCCTGCGCCCGGCCAGGACGGCATCTGCCAGCTGCCTGTTCTCGGCCTCCTGCTTCTGCACACGGCGCTGCAGGGCGTCCCGCTGCTGCAGGAAGTAGGGCACCAGGGTGCTGCGCAGGTCCTTCTCCGGGATCCCACTAGGGCGCCTGCAGGGCCGCGGAGGGCACAGGGAATGGGGACAGGGAGGGGTGTGTGGGCTGAGGCTTCTCCCTCCAAACCCAGTGGTGGCATTCCTACCTTCAGTCTCAAGCTGGGCTGGCTTCCAAGGCCTCTCCTATGGTCTCTCTCACTCCCAAGACCCAGCTGCATGGCTCCTGCTGCTGATAGGCATGCTAAGCCCTTACCTCTCAGCTTCAGCACCCAGGAATCTACTTCTCCCCTTCTCACCAGCCCGTGTCTTAGCCTTCCTCCTCTCCCCACATACAGTGCCCCCAGCTGTCATGCTCCAGGCCTACAGGTGACTTTTTTGGCTCCTGTCTCTGTCCTTGTGACCATGGGCCTTGCTGGTGCATCTGCTCCATCTGACTGTGAGCTGGGGGTGGGGGTGGGGTGGCAGTGGGATGAGCCATCCCAGATGGAGTGGTGGCCCGAGAGCAGGCCCAGACCCTGAGAGACCCTTGCTGGCCAACGTGGGAAGAAAAGGGAAGGCAGGTCTGAGAAGGTGAGACTGTAGAGGGTTCTGAGTGTCCAGAGTGAGGAGATGGGTCAGTTCTGATGGGCAGTGGGCTAGAAGCCACTGTAGGTTCTTTAAAAATTCTTTTTTGGTTACAAAAGTTAGTTCTCTTACGTAACTAAGGTCACAAAGCATTAACAAATTGAAAAGCACAAAGGTTTTTACTCCCTCTGCCCCAGGATTCTACTCAGGCAGGGAAGGGTGGCAGGAGGCAGGAGCTCAGGCCACTTACGGTCTCGGTGGCCTCAACTCTCCACTCCTGTCCCCAGGGCCCCTTGCTCCACGCTGCACAGGAGAGCCAGGCAGCAGGGCGGCTCACTGAAACCACAGCCCTGGGAGAGCAAGTCTTTCATGTCTTACTCACTGCTGAATCTCTGGCATTTAAGACAGTATTGGGCGTACAGTAAGTGCTCCTAAATACTTGTTGAATGAACAAATGAATAAAAACCAGATGCTCAGGCCAGACTAATCAACCTAAGATTCCACACCTCGCTGTTCTACCTCGTCTCACACTACCTACCCTCTCTCCTGCAGGCTAGATGGGTCCTGAAATGAGCTCCCCGGGAAGATTTCCCTCATTCCAGTCACCTCATACCCCTGGACAACATGGGCTTGCCCCTGGCTCTCCTCCCTAGAGGGGACTATGCACTTGTTTCTCTGTTCTGGGTCACTGTTTGGTGTTGGTCCTCTCCATCTGTCCCTGTCACAAGGTCCTCTCAGGGGCTGAGAGCCCAGAGTCTCATGCATATGAGTCCACCATAGACGCTCCTTCAAGATGCGGAAATGCTTTGCCCTTCTCACCAGGCCGGCTCCCTGCGGTCTTTGCCTTCTTCTACTATCACATCCAGTGCATTCAAGACAGCTTCCAGGTTCCCCTCCTCTTTGATTTCAGAGATTTCATCCTGAAGAGAAATGAGGGAAGAGCTATTATGATACTAGACTGTTCCATAAGCTGAACTGCTAACAGCACTTAGTAAAACTTTTGCTAATTTAGGTCCTGTGTCTTTATACAAACATTCCAACTTTTCTAATGTGACTTTTATAATTAAGAAAATAAAGTATAAAATCGAAAACATTTGAAAAGGGCCTGCAACAGGCCTCTCCTCCTGCCATCATCTCTGAATGCTGCCACCCCCGCCGTTACCCCCACGCCTGAGCACCCTTTGCTGACAGCACCCGGACATTTTGCTACTGAACCAGGCCCATCCTGCAGTGCGACAGCGTGGAAGTGAAACTCTAGAGAGATCACAGATACTTAAACACATGAATGGACTCCTGCCCTTTTCTGTATTCCCTCTAGGAAGTTCCAGTAAATTCAACAATCTGTTAAATGCCTCCTCTTTGCCAGGCTTACTCCAGGTACTGGAGATACACAGAGAAGTCAGACCTGGGCCTGTCCTTGCTGAGCTCACAAGGTCTGGTAGGGTGGACAACATCTGAACACAGTTACACACTGCGCAATGACAGTGCGCAGTTACACACATCGTTTGGAGGGAAAGAATGACTGCCACTGCAGCCTGCAGGGCATGGAGGACAGATCCATGGACTGAGGGTGGAGAGCGGATGAGGGTAAGGTCTCGGCCTTCAAGGGGCTGAGGATCTGGAGGCAGGACCTGAGCCAACAACAACCACCCACTGGGCTTCTTGCCACTCACCCGGATAGATGTCTGCAACTGAGTTATAAACTTGTCATAGATCCGCTGGGTCATCTCAGGCTGCAACTGATAGAAGCGCTTGTAACAGTCAATGAATCTCTGGTAGCTGGTGGGAAGGACAGAAGGCGAAGGTGGGGAGGGTTAAGGCAGCCCGGCCTCTCCCCACAGGGCTCTGAGCCTTGTCTACTTCATGGCTCTGGTTAAAGGCAGTGGACGCGAAATGCCTCATGGGCAGCTCCCAGCACTGAGAATGGCTCAGCCCCAACAGTCTCCCCACTTCCTCTCAGCAGAGCCCCAGCTGGGTTCAGGTGTTTTCCCTGTAAGGGTGGGTCACAATGAGGCCAGCCATGGTTCTTAAACTTGACCTGACCAAGCACCAAATCACCAGGAGGGCTTATTAAAACTCAGATCACTGCCATCCTCCCCACCCCACACCCCAGTTTTGAATGAGCTCCCAGGTGGTGCTGCTGCTGCTGTTCAGGGCACCCCACTTTGAGAACCTCTTCATCCCAGTCCCTATGCAGGGCTGGATTAGGACAGGGCATGTGGCCTCTGGGAGAAGTTCCTTTACTTCCAAAAAGACCCACACAGGAAGGAACTGATGTCCTTCCTGTGGGACATGACTATATTCAGGTGATGGTCCAGCTCCCGGCAACCAAGGGGGGACCTACCCAGAGGGCAGAGTTTCTAACCTAAGGATGCAAAGCAGAAAGAGGGAAAAGACCAGGGTCCCCGAGGACATCATCAAGCTGCTGAAAACACCAACCTAGAACCACCCTACCTCAGGGCTTCTTGTTAGTGAGGTAATGGAGTTCTCTGATTGTTCAAGCCATTTAAAATCAGGTCCCTGTCACTGGCACTGATAACACCCCTTGTAGCTGGAAAGGTCAAAGGGTACTCGGTATATCCCCAATGGCTTGCTCCTCTTGGACAAAGAAACTCAAATCAGTTAAATGAACTCTCTTGGCTGTTTCCTCTGCCTGCTCTCTCAGGCCCTTCCCCTCCACAAATACTCACTGAGTGCCTCCTATGTGCTGGTCACCAGCAGGTGCTGGGTGTCCCGGGGTGAATGAGACCAGCACGGCCCTCCTGGAGCTTCCAGTAGAAAGTGGAACTCCATGTGGAGATGATTACTGTGGAGAAAGTGCTTGGAAGGAAAAGGGCCAGGGCTACGGGGATGAGAGTGTATCACCGGGATCATCTTTAAGAGTTGGGGGTGGGGGGGAAGGCCTCTCTAATGAAGCAATGTGCGAGGGACCTGCAAAAAGTGTTTAAGCCAAGGAGGAGCCCACACTTGTGCTTTACTATGGGCCCAGATCCTCTCAGGCTGGTAGGCCCCTGGACAAGAAGGGGTTAGGTACCCTTTTCCTTCCAAGCAAGTAAAGAAACCTAATTACCTGCCCCCTCCACCAAACAAATGAACAAAAAAACAAAAAATAAAATTAAAAAAAATTGTGGAAGGGAAGGGCTTGAGAGAGCAGGCAGAGGAAACAGCCAAGAGAGTTCATTTAACTGATTTGAGTTGGTGCCTGGAACCCAATGCACTGCCCCCACCCCACCCAGGGAGTCACGGCTGGGTCCTCCCTTTCTCATGGGCCTCGGGCCTCCTGACCCAATTCCTACCCCCAAAACAATGTTTTTTGAAACAGATGCAGAGTGAGAGCAGTGGTGTGCTTGTAAGAGGTAACTGTTAAATTTTCAGGAAATCTGTGGGCCAGTTGTTAAACATAGCCATTATTGAAAATTATATAAAGTTACAATAAATTACATTAAAGACAAAGGCACTAATTACTCAAAACATATGACCTCCTAGTCATTTCACACATTTCACTCTGCTCCTGAGGTTGCTTCCATCGCTGGTTTCTACCTGTGGAAATAGGTGTGCCGCTGCCCATCTCTTCCCAGCCGTGTGTAGCAAGGCTACAGTGGCAGGCTTAGGGGTGTTTACACCTTGGAACCTGGCAAACACTGCAAGCCAGGGCTTTACTTCTGGACAGTAGGCTGTAAGCGTCTACCAGCACACCTCTGGGTAAGGGTGACAGTCTCCCATCATTCCCAGGGTACACATTTGATATCAGTAAACCTTGGAGGCTACAGGCCGAGGTACCAAAAGGACAATACAGATGATGGGCATCCTTTCCACCCCCAGCATAGCTGCAGACATCTTGCTGTTTTGCCACTGGCTCCACAAGCCACGCAGTCTGTGGCTACATGCAGGAATGTGGAGGACATATGGTGCCTGACCAAGAGGCGCTGGAATTGAAACCGGGTAATTGTGGCCTGAGATGGGTTTGGCTCGGACGTGGGAGATCCTGTTTCTCCTCCCAGCCCACTGGCTAGGCAGAGGGTCTGAGCTGGATGCATCTCTCCTGGGTTCAGGCGGCTGGCAGCAGACAGGACCCAGGGCAGGGGTGAGGCACATTCTACCCACCGGTGCTGCTCATCAACTCTTCTGGTGACCCCCTTGGGGCCTGAGAGTTCAGTGAAAATGAAGGACCCAGAAACACGCACACTGATACAAACACAAAAGGTGGAAAACATGTTGCAAGGACATGGAGGGAGAGCCGCCAGGTTGGAGTCCAGGAGCAAAGTGATTTTTTTTTCTTCTAGTTTCACTGAGATATAATCCACTTACAGCACCTGATAAATTTAAGGTGTACAGCATAATGATTTGACTTACATATATTGGGAAATGATTACCACAATAAGTTTAACTAATATCCATCAACTCATATAGAAACAAAAAAGAAAGAAAAGGGGAAAAATAAAGGTTTCCTTCTTATGAGAACTCTTAGTAACTACTTTCATAGTAGCTTTAAAAATGTACCACACAGCAGTGTTAACTGTAGTCAACATGTTGTATATTACATCCCTAGTACTTATTTATCTAATAACTGGAAGTGTGTATCTTTTGACCACCTTCATGCAATGCCCTCTCCCCCACCCTCCAGTAATTCCTTTCTTGAGAGCCAATGCAGAGTTGGGAATGGTGTGAATGCCCCTGTCAATTTCCTGAAAAAATACCTTCACAGAGAAAAAAGAAAAGTGATGAATTTAAAAAAAAATTCATGCAATCCCCAATATCTCCATTAAAAAATAAATAAACAAATAAACCTAATTACCTCCCCCCACACACACAAAATTCATGGGCACCTCCTCCCCAAACGTCAAATTTTATTTTCTCATATAAACTCTAACAACTTCGTGGACAGGGACACCATCTGCAATGGATCTTCAGGTATCTTAGATACACAGCAGCACTCAAGACATGCTGCAGACCAGGTGACTGGGGCTGAGGGGAGGTCTGGGGCTACCTGGCCCCCAGCTTGTCCCACTCCCAGCCACTTCCCCTACCCTCGACCCCAGGTTACCAGGGCCCAGACTACTTGAACGGAGGAATCCTCCCCACAGAGCATTAACAATGGCCACTCTGCCAAGCCCCACTTTGCCCTTGGCTAGAATGGTCTCCTGGCCTTGGCCTTCCAAGAGTACACAGGGGCCACCCAGCTATGTGCTGGGTAAGTGCACTGGCTCTGAAGACTGCCTGTCCTTTTGCCTCGGTTCAAATCCCACCTCTACCACTCAGCAGCTGAGTGATCTTGGACAACTTACCTTTAAGCCTCAGTCTCCTCCTCTGTCAATGGAGACAATAACTATAAGTCACAAAATTATTGTGAGGATTAAATGAGGTTTAATACTTACTACAGTGGATAGCACGTGGAAATTCTCCATATTAGCTACAATTATTATTAGCATTCTCAAAAGAACAGGCCTTATCACCACTCAGAAGTGTAGGACACAGT